AGGACAGAGGATCCGCAAGGAGCAGCTGCCTTGGAAACATCGCTAGTGACCTGATACCACGGGACACTGCCATTTTTCCTGTGCCGGTTGTGTTCCGTCAGCGCTGCATGACACGCTGGCTTGTTCTGGATCTGACAGTGACAGCTTACAAAATCCACAGCAGACAGGATGACAGAGCTTACTGCCAATAGGCACACAGGGGGGTGCAAGTACACACGTGCTCTCTCTCTCTCTCTCAAACACACACACACACACACACACACACAGGCCCTGTGCACCTCTGAGCTAAACCAGTGCAAACACAGTTGTTGGAGGACACAGACTGTCTTTGTAGAAGCAACAGAAATGGAGACTCTGAGTGTGTCCAGGAGTTCAAGTCAGATCAGCAGTTCCCACAGTGAGTTCCATAAAAAGAGCAGGCGGGGAGGGGTTTGCAACCAAGTAAGTTTGGGAAGGACTGGGTTAGACGAAATCGAACATGCTCTTTTTTTTGGAGAGGTTTTTGCTGTAGGGTGCATGCACTTGTCAGAAAGACAGAGAGAGACAGAGAGACAGAAAGTGAGAAATCCCCCCCAGAGGGGGATGGCCACACCGCAATCCCTTCTCCTCCATTCTCTTCTTGGGATCTTGGGCACGCACGCACACGCGTGCGGCGTGAGTTTAAGCCACCAGGTCTGGGACTCGAACCGCGGTCGACTACATGGGAGTTCAGCAACATAGCCATTCCACTGTAACTGCTGGTCCCGAACATGCTCTTTATTCTGGTGATGCATATTGGGAACTCTCAGAGGAAGGTAAAACTGGTAGCTGTTGTTGTGGAGCAAATTAGCCTAAAATTTAACAGTTTAAAATAAGCAGCAGTCATTACCAGGCAGTTTCTGAGGTTGGTGAATTCAGTTGAGGCTTAACTGAGTGGTTCTGGCTCAGGGTCTCACGTGAGATTGCAGTCATGCTGTCAACTGGAACAACAGTCTTCTGAAGGCTTGGCTGGGGCAGCAGGGGCTGCTTCTAAGCTCATCCTCATGGCCGTTGGCAAGGCCTCAGCTCCTTACACATGGACCTCTCCATGGGGCTACTTCTTGGGTGTCCTCATGGTATGCCAGGTTTCCCCAAACAAGTGATCTAAGAGACAGCATGAGACAGACACCTCCTCTCTCTCTTGTGATCTATCCTTAGAAGTAGCTTAACATCACTTACGCTGTATACTATTGGACAGTCCCACAAAGAAACCCTAGAGTGGATCTGAATTTGTTCTCACCTGAGACAGGAGAGCTGGGCTTTAATACTCTCAGGCCCAGCACTCATTGGCTAATGTCTGCCGTAGGGACAGTTACACAGCCCGACCCGTAAACTCTGATTGCCCCAGAATAGTCCTCTGAAGAACAAGTGCACACTCAGGGACATAAGAGCACCCAGAAAGCGGGAGAGGACACACAGAAACAGCAGAAGGAATCTGAGGGGATCTAGGCAGACCACTGAGAGAGTCTGCTATATTTATACTCATGCATAATTGGAAATACTGAATTGGTTCACTGCAGGGGATCGGTTGGACATCGGCCTAAACAATGTGCATCCATGATGTGCACCCATCATGTGCCTGAAGATGACAGGTGGTCCCAGAAATAGAACATGAGAAAAGGTGGACTTAAATAATTAGTAGGCATGATGCCCCGCCCCATTTAAAACAAATATAAATATGCATTTATACTTTGTTTAAAAAAATTTCTTAAAGAAGGTGGGTGTTCAAGTTGTATTTTTCTTTCCTGTTTGTCGTGGACTGAATGCTTGGGTCTTCCCGAAATTTATATGTGAAAAAAAATGTATTTTTTTCCTTTCAGGGAGCATGTGAACTCGCCAGAGAGAGACAAAGAAACAGAGAGAGGAAGAAATCTCTCTGTAATGGGGTGTGATCATACCATAATCTCTTCTCTTCCATTTCTTCATCCTGTTGGGATTCACACATGGTCGGTGTGTTTTTCAAGCTACCAGGGCTGGGATTTAAACTGCAGTCATCCATGTGAGATCCAACTCCCTTAACTACTAGGCCATGAGTTGGGGCCCTGTTAGAATCTTAACCACCAGGGCCAGCAGGTGGCTTAGTGGTTAAAGCACTGGACTCCCAAGTGGTTGATCATGGTTCAAGTCCTGGACCTGGCAGCTTGAAACTCA